ATATATTTTAAATATATATTTTTAAATATTTTTTTATTACCATTAGCTTCCTCACTCCCAAGCTCCAAGTTCCTTTACCTCCATAACTCATTTCTAAGCCCCTTTCTTCTAGGAATTACTTTTTCTTTTTTTTTTTCTTTTTAAATAGATTTTTATTGATTTCAGAGAGGAAGGAGGAGAGAAAGGAAGATAGAAACATCAATGTTGAGAGAGAATCATGGATTGGCTGCCTTCTGCACACCCCCTACTGGGGATGGAGCACGAAATCCGAGCATGTTCCTTAGGTTTGATGGAGCAATTGAATTGATACCCTTCCCCCGGAACTGGCTTTTCAGGTCATTTCACTATGGACATTCCCTTTGCTGAGACCACATTCCATTATCTCCCCTCCGGGTATGCATAAAGAAGTCTCCGCACAGAAGTAAGCCCGCCAAAAGCCCTTTGGCTCAGTGGATAGAGCGTTGGCCTGCGGACTGAAGGGTCCCAGGTTCGATTCCAGTCAAGGGCTTATACCTTGGATGCGGGCACATCCCCATTGGGGAGTGTGCAGGAGGCAGCTGATTGATGTTTCTCGCTCATCGATGCTTCTAACTCTATGGCTCTCCCTTCCTCTCTGTAAAATAAAAAGCCACTGACTCGGTCACTGGGTGCTGGAGCCATCCAAGCTCAGCCACCTGGTGTGCAGGTCATTTGTAATCCTGCACCACTCTGGCCTCCAGCCCCTCCGGGGACCTAACAGTGCCCTTGATCAGAATCGAACCCAGGACCCTTTAGTCCCCAAGCCAATCCTCTGTCCACTGACAAACCGGCTAGGGCTAGGAATTACTTCCTACCTCTGTAATTTGTCCAATAAATGCATTTGTCCAATAAATGTTCTCTTACAGAAATAAATAAAAATAAATGAAAAAGAGTCTGTATCATCTATAACCAATTTTTTTTGTTTCTTACTTCCATTCCCCTCACAATGCATATTCCAGTTATCTTCTTCCCCAACTTCCCCCGACATTTCCTTTACAATTCCTCACACTGATCACTTAACGGTGGAGTATCTTTCTCTTTTGAAATAGGACTTTAAAGCTTAAAGGATAAATTGCTTCCTTTGCAAAAGTAAGCTCAAGCTGTGATAAGTGAATTCACATTTTGTTTCCACTGTATACTTAGTGTCTGTCACATCAGTACATATTTGTTGAATCAATGAATTAATTTTTTCTCAAAAATCTGAAACTGGTCACAGCGCGGTGGCCACTGCCATTTGGTTACAGAGCCCAGTCTCTGTCCCTAGCAACCAGCGTAAGGTCTGAGAAGGCCCCGAGCACCCTCAGTGAGGGCCAGCCCAGGGTGTGTATGCGCATTTCCAGTTACTGCGGTACCAACAGACCGGGGGACTCGATTAAAGAAGCTGAAGAAATTAGCCAAAGAACATATATCATAGCCCATAACACAGACAAGTGATGTGATGGCCAAGAGGGAAGGAGGGGCAGAGGCTGGGTGGAGTTGGGGACATGTGTAATAGTGTCAACAATAAAAATAAAGGTTAAAAAATATATATATACCAACAGGCAGCCAGAAAACGAGTAAAGGACGGGGACGAGCAACGAAGAATCCGAGCCTGAGGTTTACACAGAACAAACACCCAGGACAAGATGGCGCCCTCCGCTCGGAACGGGAGCAGGGATAACATCCACGCGGGAGAAGCGTGCACACGCCCGGGCTCGCCTCCGGCTACGTTCGGTGGGACATCCAATGAGAGCTGTAGTTAGACCCCACCCCTATTTTCCGCCACTCCCTGGGCACATGCGCTCCAGGCGCTCAGCCGGGTGCCAGCTGCGCAGGCGCAAGAGGCCCCTCCTCTCACGCAACTGACGCAAGGAGACTGTAATCGTTTCGCAGTTTATCCCGTGTGACCTTGAGTCTTAGCTGCCTCCGAGGACCAGGGCTGTCTAAGGTTGTTGCCTTTATATTTCTCTTAAACCCCTCGCCTCTCACTGAGCCCGTACCTGCCACAGCCAGAACTGAAGGACGCACTTTTTCAGCTATCATGCTGCGGAGCGTATTGGCCGTACGCACTTCCTCCGGCAGCGGCGGTCAGGTAGTCTCTGGTCAGGCAGTGCAGGCAGCGCCTCAGCGGAAGAGCGGGCCTCCAGACTCCAGCGACCAACCCCCGCCCTCCCCACCCCACGTGGTTGGAGGTTTCCAGAAGCGTTCCCACCGCCGCGCAGCGCAGCGCAGCTCCCGGCTGTCCGAGTGACTGTTTGTGGCCTCGTACTCTCACCGTTTAGCCGCCATGATAAGCGCCAGCCGAGCCGCGGCATCCCGTCTCGTCGGCGCTGCAGCCTCCCGGGGCCCCACGGTCTCCCGCCACCAGGTAAGAAACTTCCAGGCCTTCCCCGAGGGGCTCACGGCTCACGGTCTTGGGCCTTGGAGCTGCAGGCCACGCGCCCTTTGGGGTCAGAATCCTCTCGGAGAGATCAGGTGGGAAGAAAGGTAACGGGCCTTCTGCAATCAGCGCTGCCGATTCAAGGCCCATTTCAGGTTTTATCTCGGTGTCTCGAGCCCTGCTGAGTCACACCCCTTGCCAGCGCGGGGTCTTATTTCACGAAGTAGTAGGTAGTGGTCCTGACGACCCGTTTTGTGGCTGATTAAACAGGTTTGAGCTTGGGGGCGAGGGATGCAATTCTAGTTAGGAGGGAACCGCTCTTCAGGTTTGTATTCTCACCAACGAGTCGGAGACGACTGCTCTTCTGTAAGATACATGTGTGCAAGGACCCCGCTGCAAAGATGAAATGAAGCAAGAACACGCCTTAATAAATCCAGAATCGAGTTCCCGTTCTTTTGCTTAGGAATGTTTGTGTAGTTAGTTCCCCCACATTTTGGGGTTAAGATTGTCCTCTGTTATTTCAAAAAAATGTAACCATGGTGCTTGTTACCACGTACGATCAAAAGCCTACATCTTTGAAGAACTGGAATTGTCTTCCTGGGGTTAAAGAAAGGCTTGGAAGTAGCCTAAAATTAGGTCGTAACAAAGGTCTTTTCTTTGATCCTGGTTGGAGGTTACTCCTGGGAAAAAAATTTTTTTTCTAAGTTGACTCCACAAGATTTCTAATTCTATCTCTTTAAAGCAGTTGCTTGGCAAGATCAGGGTAAATGTTTCTAAATAAACTTATACCTGTAATACATACGTATATGTAGGGCTTTATTCAGCTTGCTGTTTCAGTACCGCAATGCCTCTTATACATGAAACGCTTCATCATTTCAGTATATTTTATACATGATAGCCACTCAGTTAAGTAGAATGAGAGTTCAAGACTTTCAGAAGAATAATTGGAACAAGTTCAAGTTTTCATATGTAATAATGGCTGATGTAACTGTTTTTTCTTTTTTAGGATGGCTGGAATGGCCTTAGTCATGAGACTTTTAGAATTGTCTCAAAGCGGGACTATGCGTAAGTGTAACTTTATTTCCTTTGAGAGATAAATTCTAAACCCCCGAGCAGTGGTCTCTAACTTTGTGATTAATGATTCTGTTCAGGAAAAAATGACACATCTATATTTTCAGATTGTGTAATGTGCCACTATTCCCACAGTATCCAATATTTTCTTCTTATGTATTCCTGTAACCATTTTGGAGATCACTATTACAATGATAGCTATAGCATTGTTTTAAATGTTTTACAGATCAGAAGCAATCAAGGGAGCAGTTGTTGGTATTGATTTGGGTACTACCAATTCCTGTGTGGCCGTTATGGAAGGTAAACAAGCAAAGGTGAGCATGACTTGTTCTGGGTCACAATTGCATGGTGCTGATAATTGAATGGATTTGACTTCCAAGGATTTAGGTGTGTCTTCTTGGACTACTAAATTACCATTGGGATGGCTTACAGATAGATTACAGATTACTTCTGTTATCAGTCCCAAGTGGAGCTCCACATAACACATGGGCTGCAACCTAAGTAAAGCATCTTAGGAGATTCCTATTATGGTAGCTATTCTTCCAGAAGTTTCCTTACTCTTTTTATGACACTTTTATTCCCACTAGGTTCTTGATATTTAGAGCACCTGAGATTCTTGAATTGTTTCTTGGCAATTTTTATATGCCTGAAACTTTTTAGCCATTACCAAAGAAATTGAGAAATGGATTTAATTCTTCTAGAAGGAAAGATTACCTTGTCCTTACATTGACTATGAAAGCTCTGATTTATATTTATTCTGGTTTTCTTTCTGTTGTTTCAAAATAAAGATATTTTGAACATCCACTATTCTTGAGCATTTATGTTGTGAGTTGACATCTGTTTTGTCTTAAATGATTAATACAAAGACAGGGGTGGTCACTGGAACCTCGTTCTCTGTCTTGCTTTGGGTGTTTTAGGTGCTGGAGAATGCTGAAGGTGCCAGAACCACCCCTTCAGTTGTAGCCTTTACAACAGATGGTGAGCGACTTGTTGGCATGCCTGCCAAGCGACAGGCTGTCACCAACCCAAACAACACATTCTATGCTACCAAGCGTCTTATTGGCCGGCGATATGACGACCCTGAAGTCCAGAAAGACATGTGAGTAATTACAAAAGCACAGTTATTTGCGAAGGCCACACAAAAGAATCTTTTAGCAAGTTCCCTTGAGCACATTAGTAATTTTATGTGTCCCTGGGGCAAGACCTCTCCTGCCAAAAGGATATCTCCTTCAAAAAATTTATTTTTGCCTCCACAGATTAGGTCTTTGCTGTGTATAGATGTGGTATATGAAGATTTGGCTAGTCATTCCTAGGCCATGTAAATTGGTGTTAAATTCGTAAGGCAGATAGTGGCATGTGCTGATCAGATAGTTTCCAAGGTTTGTGTTGTGGCATGTTATCAATGCTTCATTACTTTATATGGCCAAATAATATTCCATTGTCTGGATATATACATTTTGTTTAGCCATTTATGTTAGTGGACATTAAGTTTGCTTTCCCCCTTTTTTTCTTGACTTTAAAGAGAGGGCTAGAGAGATAGAACCATTGATCAGCTGCCTCTTGCACAACTGGGGATTGAACTTGCAACCTGGGCATGTGCCCTGACTGGGGATCCAACCGGTGACCTCTTGGTTCATGGGTCGATGCTCAACCATGAGCCACACCAGCCGGGCCACTTTTTAGCTATTATGAATAATGCTGCCACAGGTTTTTGTGTGAACGCATGTTTTCATATCTCCTGGCTAGATACTTAGTAATGGAATTTCTGGGTCCTATAAGTGATAACTATAATCATTTTCCAAAGCCCCTGCTTAAGTTTTTTGTTTGGTGGGAAGTAGAGAATGTTTGGGTTTCATCAGGGTGTTTTGACATGTTAATGTTTACTTTCTTAAGACTTTCATTAAATTCATTTCTGAAGTTCTCATTGACCATGGATTTCTGGGGATGGGAGGGTGGATATTCATGGTAGATTGCACTGCCATGTTTTTTCAAATACAATTTTTGTGTCTTGCAGTAAAAATGTTCCCTTTAAAATTGTCCGTGCCTCCAATGGTGATGCCTGGGTTGAAGCTCATGGAAAACTCTATTCTCCAAGTCAGATTGGAGCGTTTGTGTTGATGAAGATGAAAGAGACTGCAGGTGAGATGTTTAGTTCACGTCTGGGAAAGTATCAAGAACTGGGTGATTTATCTGAGATCACTAGCTTTTATACCCCAGTGTCCCTTGGATGAGTTTGGTGGCTTTTATACAGAAAACCTAGGAATGGCAAAACTCTTCATACTATTCTCTGCAGATTGAATACATCTTCCAAATTTTCCTAATGGTGGCTTTCTTGTTCCTTTTTTCCAGTAGGGGAGTAGTATTTTGAAAGCCAAAAGATGACACATAAGCTTTTGTCTGTTAGTTAGGTAAAAGTTTAGAACTTCCCATTGATGAAACTAGTAGTCATTTTAAGTCATTCTAGTTGTTGAACTTTCACTGAAGTGTTAGAGGTGAGGTCTTGGTTTGTAATTATTATCTTCAGTTGGAGTATTTTCCTACAAGGTCTCTACATGTTAGGTCTTAGCATGCTGAAAAACTGGTGTGTGCTGTTTGTGGCTCCAAAAGGATGATATAGGTTGTTAGGTTACATTAGTAATTCTGTTACCTATTTCAACTGACAATTGCATGATTGGATTCATTCCTTGATTCTTTTCCAGAAAATTACCTGGGGCATACAGCAAAAAATGCTGTGATCACAGTCCCAGCTTATTTCAATGACTCACAAAGACAGGTGAGTCAATTAGCATTTTTATTTAGGAAATTCGTGGTATTGCGGACACAAAGGTGGAAAATGCTTTTTTCTTTTTTAGGCCACTAAGGACGCTGGTCAGATAGCTGGACTGAATGTGCTTCGGGTGATTAATGAACCCACAGCTGCTGCTCTGGCCTATGGTCTAGACAAATCGGAAGATAAAGTGTAAGTCTATATAATAAACTCCATCAAGACTTATCCCAAGTCATCATTTTGATTTCTTAGTGATTGATTCTTGTATTTAGACTAAAAATATACTGCCTTGATGTTCTGCAAGGCTGTACAATCTGTTTTTCATTCATTTCAAGACATTTTATTTATTTACTATTTTCCCCTAAGTACTGGTCTAATATAATAGGGTCATTCCCTCTCCTCCAAAAGAGTGGTTTTGCTTTTAAGTGAATTTATTCATTTCAACTGTATGTATACTTCACATGTTAGGGCCATATGTTAATACAAATGTCACACAATTATCAAATTTCATAATAATTAGACTTTGGGGAAAATAGGCAAGTTTATTTGGTTATTGAAATGTATATTGGCATAGGTTCCACCATGTGCGAGTCAGATATGTTTCCAAGGATTATCCATGTTGTATCATTACTTTTGTTTCTTAAGGCCTTCCTTTTTTTCTTTCTAGCATTGCTGTATATGATTTGGGTGGTGGAACTTTTGATATTTCTGTCCTGGAAATTCAGAAAGGAGTATTTGAGGTAAAGTCCACCAATGGAGACACTTTCTTAGGTGGTGAAGACTTTGACCAGGCCTTGCTACAACACATTGTGAAGGAGTTTAAAAGAGAGGTTAGTTACTGGTGTGGTTAATCTGTAGACATCGGGATAGTGAAAATTTCCTTATTCAGATAGCTGCCCTGAATAGAGCACTAAATTTTTTTGCCCTGAGTAGAACACTGGAATGTTTGTGTTTCAGTTGAAAGGTATGGCACTCTTTGTACAATATTGAAAAAAGAATAATGGGAACTCCTTTTTTTGAGCTAGACTCCTACGGTTGAAAGAACTGAGATCAGTTCTGCCCTCTGACTCCAGGCATAGATAGCCCTTTTAGAATAGGTTTTCTTTTCCCTACAGAATTTTAAAGGGAAGAAGTAACTTATGCTTGTTTATAAAGTTATGGCTCTATTTTGACTTGTTAGCGGCGTATCACTGCAATTTAAGAGTATTTATCACCTCATTAATACTAGCATTAATGTCTTCACTTTGTAGACGGGAGTTGATTTGACCAAAGACAACATGGCACTTCAAAGAGTTCGGGAAGCTGCTGAGAAGGCTAAGTGTGAACTCTCCTCATCTGTGCAGGTGAGACATGGACAAATCCCAGCAGTCTTGATGGATCTTTTCAGCCTGAGCTTACTGGAATAGCATATTTTAATTGTCTTACCGTTTGCTGATTGGTGGTAAAAACCTTTCCGTGAGCAAAGGAGCAGGTGTTGTGTGTGTGTGTTAATGGATGACCTAAATTTGTTAACCATCCAAATCAGAGGTTATGTGTACTGGAGCTAAAATCTAGACTAGCAGTGTGCAAAACTATAATTGTTACCCTGTAAATACCCGGAGACTCAGCACTGCTGTCTTCACTTAACTCAAGATACCTCTTTGTGTGGGTCTCTAAGTTTCTCCTTTAATTTGAATCACCGATCTAGAAAGTGAGCTATGAAGGCTAGGGTTTATGCACCTGAGCAAGTTTTTCCCTCTGGGCATCAGATTTGCTCAGCATCTGTTTTAAGGTGTCAGCCTATCCTGCTTCATTTCAGAGAGATGAAGCTTCACTTTGCTTTAATAACCAAGAATAGAAATGTAGAAAGTATGGTAGATCCGGGTCAGAGACGAAACAAGGTGAAAGGCAAGAGATTTAATTTCAGGTTCTTAGGTGGCAGAGAAACAGAGCCTGTGACTACTTTTTTTAGTTTGATTACCAATGGGAGGAGAAGAGGTATCAAACTTGAGTCAAACCTGGAATTTTTTTTTTTAATTGATTTTTTGCAGAGAGGAAGGGAGAGGGATAGAGAGTTAGAAACATCGATGAGAG